AACACATTTTTATGAGCCTTATACATAACCTGCAGAATGTTATAATCAACCAACTCATAAAATTTTAACAACTTTAACTGATGAAACAATATATTAGAAGGGTGATAGTAATGTTTTCTTGTAATAATTCTAATGGCTCTTTTTTGTAAAATAAAAATATGATTAGTAATTGTTTTACATGCATTTCCCCAGACCTCCATACAACAAATCAAATGTGGAACAAGTATTGCATTATATAGTGTAAATGGTGCTTTATCATTAAATAACTCCTTAACTTTATACAGAACTGCAATAGATTTAACCATTTTTGTTCTTCAGTAATTTATATGAGGTCCCCATGTCAGGTTTTCATCAATGACTCCCAAAAACTTCACTTCATTGACTCTACAGATCTCAACACCTTCTGCTCTAAATGGAACATCAGTTGTTTTCTTTCTATCATTAAATATCATTTAATTTGTTTTATCCAAATTTAATGATAATTTATTATGTTTAAACCAATTCTGTACTTTTACAAATTCTATTTCCATCATTTCCATCATCTGTTCTATATTTTTACCCAAGCAAAAAAAAGTAGTGTCATCTGCAAATAAAATACATTTAAACAACCCCGACACATTTACCAAGTCATTAATATATAGGAGAAACAACTTTGGTCCCAATACAGAACCCTGTGGAACCCCACATACAATATTGTAAAGTTCAGATTTTACACCATTTATTTGTACACATTGTTTCCTATTGGTTGTATAACTCGATACCCACTGTAGTGCGTGACCTCTTATACCATTTTAATGTTTTATCATAAATTCTTTAGGATTTCTATCATTTCTTTATAATATTTGCTGTGTTGTTGTCAGATAATGTGTCTGTGGAGCGACTGAGGCTGAGCAGGAGGTCCCACTGTGCTGCATGCAGAGGGTCATGACCCCTGCTGTGTGCTGACAGCCCCTTTCTGTTTCCTCACATCAGCAGCGTGGCACATGCAAACCTCTGTCGCTGCTCATCTCTTCCTCTGCAGCCTCCAGCTTCATCCGACATCTGTCAAATGTAGGAGAAACATCAACAAACAAAAGAAGCAGACAAAATAAAGAGCCACCTCGTTAGTGATGGCAAGTTTGGCTCTTGTAGAACAGCTCCCAAACGGCTCTTAACTTAGTGTCATCTACAGACTCATGTTTTAACTTAACTTAGTGTCATCTACAGACTCATGTTTTAACTTAACTTAGTGTCATCTACAGACTCATGTTTTAACTTAACTTAGTGTCATCTACAGAC